ATTTGGTAAATGATATTTTCATATCGTTAGTTACTACAGATCTATAAAATTCGTACGAAATTTGTAAATCTGGAAATTTTTCTAAAAAGTCTTTATACATATTAGTAATAGTTATGTCACTGGGTAGGTGTAACTTATTAGGTGCGTGTTCTCTTCGATAATGAGATACACTAAGAGAAAAGAACTTTATATGCTGCACAATAATATTCTTATCAATTGGATTTTTTCTTTTCCAAGTTCCTCGATTATCTTTTGGAGGGCTTGATAAATTTCTAAGAATTCTATCATTATTGCACGCATATCCTAGAGTGCATAGAAAAAAATTCTTGCAGACTTTTTCACCAAAATAGTCTTTTAAATAAAAATTTCTGTGAATATTTTTCTAATATTGTAAAAATTGTTTTTGTTGTTCAAAATTTTTTCGCCAATATTTTTCGTTAATTATTAGTCTTCTCTCCTGACTAAATTTCATAAAACATTTGTCTCTGCACTTGGAAACAGGTTTTATTTGATGCAGTTTTAATTTATTGTTATGAAGAAATTTCTTTCGTTCTGTTGGAGAAAACTTATATTTTTTTCTTAATATTTCTTTTCCTCGTTTTGTAGTAGCAAATTCAGCTATAGCGAATACTTCTTTTCTGGTAGGTGACAGATTAGTTTCTTCTTCTGCTATGTCTATCCTATTTGTTTCTAGTTTCTCAGATTCCTCATCGTTGAATCCCTTGTGTTTTATATAATTATTGCAATATTTATATTGACCAAAAATATAATACAAGGTGGGATTCGCCGAAACCATTCGTTTAATGGCGTGAAAAAACGGATTATACGACTGAAAATAAACGCAATCTTTTTCGGCCTGCCCGAACGGCAATTGGGCCGTCATATGTGTCGGAACCATTGAGTTATAGCAACGGTAATATTGTATTTCTTTAGCATATTTAAAAACAGTTTTTCGTGCTTGTGTCGCGTTTGTAATTATTGGTAGATTTTCAAGTCCCACGACGCAGCCGAAATGTAGTTGAACGAGCTTAACGTGAACGTCGTCGGCGATTATATCATGTAAGGTAGATGACCTTCGTCCGCCGTCGCAATAATTCCGTGTTTGGCTCTGAAAATGTTAAAAATTTTAAAAATATATCTGAGACAGACAGATTACAAAAATTTATTGTCGAAGAGAATCATGTAGAATAACAATACAAATAAAATAGAGGTACAAAATAAAAGGTATAAAATAAAATATTCAGTTAGACATTTATTGTTAAAATAAATGAGGGGCCTAGTATCAAAACCGGCAATATCCCACTTTCATAGTTTAGAGATATTTACGAATAACTACTGCTGCCTTATTATTTATGCTAGATAGTTGGAGATTATTGAAAACGGTAGTTTACTCGATTCTGAACAATAACTAATAGTTCTGTTACTTAGAACCGACAAGGTTTTTCCAAAATATAATACAAAAATATGGAGATTGCCGGTTTTGTTCCTAGAGGTAGGACATTGCCGGTTTTGATACCGAAATGTATAAATAGACCCGAGAAAAAAAGGCAATGAAAGACGAAGTGAATGCTAAACTAAAACTGTATTTTTCTTTAGGTAACAACATAGTAGAAAATAATATCAAAAATTAAACCAATACAGATGGAATCTCTGCAATGAATTCGCAAGAGGGTTCATCATCAACAAGTTGATTAGCTTCTCTGTCTTGGGTTTCCTCCGACTCTTCAGGATTTTCTGTGAGACTCTCCAACATTTCCTCGCTGGGAACGATATCATTATAAAACATCAGTTCATCTAGATCTCTCCACTTTTTGCCAAAGTGTTTGGTCGGCAATTTGTTCACGTCATTTAACTTCAGACTGTTGACCTGAGGCAGGCCGGCGTTGATTAGATCTGGTTTAATCATGCCAATTGGTTTTCCTTTTTTTATGAATCCCTTAAAGGTTTGCAAGTCGCTCCTATAATGGACTTCACCTCTTATTAAAATATTTCCAGACTGGCATCTCTTCAGATAAAATCGTTTCGTATTTTTAAATTGGAAGTGCCATAATCCTGGGGGTTTCAGTACCTCTTTAACGCTTTTTTTCCAGTCGTAAACAGTACAGTCTGTACCTAAACGAATGGGAGTCGCAATTTTTGAAAAGATTTCAATATAGGTGTCAGGTTTGGTTATTACTTCCAGTTTTTTAATGTTCTTTTCGATGTGACCAAACACTCTGTCTGCTGGAAGAAAGGAATGCCCCACTACGGGAAAGATGACTTCCAAATTCTTAATATTTAACGGGGCATAATTTGCTAGCCATTTGGAGCACATCCCTATAAGAGTGCTATTCTTGTTTTGGCCGCTACATCCATCTGCCATAAGCCTAACCGTGGTATGGTGAGGGCCAAACTCAATTTTTTTCAGTCTATCATATACAGCTGATGAAACCTCATTGGAACTTTTTGCGAACTCATTTTCGGTCCAGTAGTACGAAAAAACATTTTCTGGATTAAGCTTGGATTTTGATGTACCTTCTACAATCGTAAAGTTGTAGAGGTACAACTGCCTTGAATAATAGGCTGTTTGGTCTGGCACCTTTGGTAGAACTAAGTTCTTCTCGCAATCGAAAGATATGGTTACCATATCATCTCTAGCTTCTTTAAGTAGATTGAAAAAAGCATCTGCTCTCAGTTTGTGAATTTTTTTGTCTGTTGAAAGCTTTTTCTTTTCTTCTTCATCTTCGCAACGTTTGATTCTTTCAGCCAATTCAAGGCACGTGGAACACACGTCAGTTCGCGGTGTTGTGAAACTCAAATTATACTTTGTGTTGAAAATTGTTCGAAAATACGACAATTTTACTTTTTCTTCTGGACTGCACTGCTGATCATACATGGTGTGCATTTTTTGTATCGATAAATCTGAAGGAAGGTATAGTCTTTTTGTACTGGAGCGGCAATAGTGTGATTCAATGCACTTGAAACTATTGATGAACTGTTGAACCGCCGCTGGTTTGTCTTCGTATTTAGGAGTTTTTCGATCTCCACCTCTTTTTTCTATTGGTGCTTGACCACTGGAAGTAAAACTCTTCATGACGTGGCTCACACGATGTTTTGTAATATCAAGTATGTTTAAAAAAGTCGACTGGCATACGGGAACGTTCGCTTTTGAGGAATAATTTCTCACAAAACATTTTACATGGGTAACTTTGGCTTCTCGTGTTGCATTTTTCGGACGGCGACGTTTGCACACATCAACAGAGCAATGCTTTAGAATGAACGAGTCTTGACAAAACCGTTAATGTCTACACTATTAATTTCATTTTGTGCATTTTCGAGAATTTCGTCATGTTTTCCTGTCTGCCTGTTTCCTTCTATTTCAATTTCATTGGTATAGTAAATATTTTCACAATTGGCGTTTTCTATTTCTGTGATTTTATTTCTCCATGGCAAAAATAACAAAACTTGTTCACGATAGTAATTGGTTGGATCTTGAGCTAGTTTCTAACGTCTGTATCTGATTATAGTTGATTTTTGCCTAGTTTGATATTCTGCACTTGGATTGTCTTCGTTGTCGTGATTTAACTTTTTCTTGAAATGCATACACACAAAATCTACTAGAAAAGTGTTTTCCATTGTTGCTGAATGGTTGCTGTATTTTGCGAGTATATTTTCCACAAATATATGTCGAGTTTTTGTCTAATGTACCAAGTTCCTATGTCGTTTTCAACAACATTTCTCGTTCGTTTATGGGGCTTGTATTCATAAAAAATGACTACTTTTCGTTAATGGCAATGATATAACATGATACGATGCTTCTTGAGCAGACATTAAGTTACTGTTTAAAACCATATTGGCAATTTTTCGAAATTTATCTTTGATGTTTTTGCTTTCCGTATTCGTATCAGAGGCAGCATCTCTAAGTAATGTTGATAAGTCAGCATCTACCTTGCCGACGTAGTTAATGATATAGGAAGCAACACCGTATTCTTCTAATACAAATTGAACATCGATATTCGATTCGAACAGGTGCAATATATTTTTGTTGTAGCTATTTATACCTACTTCTAAACTGCTTCTTTTTAAAAATATCTACTCTTTTCAGAGAGCTTCTTAATGCGTTTCAATTAATTTCAACTTGTCTAAAACTTCCTGAAAACTTAATTGTTCTTGTTTTTTTGTAAAAGTAGTTCATTAGTTTTCTAATTTTCATTAATTTTTCTCGCATCTCTACAGACTTTTCGATATCGTTCAATGGTGTTAATATCATTGTTCTTGGCGTAACGGGCAATGGAAAATTAAATCTACACTTTTGTTCATTTTTGGTCATATAAGGGTCGTTTTCGTCATAATGACATGTTATGTATGTATCAATAAAGGAAATACATTCTTCGATACTATCTGGGTTTGATGGATCATATTTTGGTGCATTTTTCAGCGACAAAAAAATGTGTTCGTGAGACGATCATCTGATTAGAAATTCCACTCTCTCGTAACTGTCTTCCACCAAATAATTTCCAAAAATGTTATCCTTTTGTTTCAATAATAACATAAATTTGTTAACTTTGTAGTCAAAATGGCGTGCGCAAGTTACTTGGTCATTTCGAATTAGTTCACTTTTTTCATGATCATCTAAATTTAAGGCTTCTTCCAACGATATGATTTCACTGCGATTTGATTTAATCAATGTTTTTATTAATTTTGGCCATCACGATTCGGCAGCAGTTAGTGTTAAGAATAATATCGGTTTTCCCAATTGTCTAATCATCGCCATTAAATCTGGTTTCTTACTTTCCCAGAAAGAAGGAGATCTCACTTGTTTGAGAATTTTGTAACCTACATCGAATTTTACTAAATTGTTTACGAACTCTTGTGTTTAAAACATTGGCGACACTAAGATTATTTGTTTGTGTTTTTCGTAAACATATATTCACACTTGTAATGCAACTCTGTTCTAATTTTTTGTTTGCCATATATAATATTCTAGTAAGTACACACGATCTGCGATCTCTACGTCTACTCTATGATTTGGTTTGATCACTATATGTAATAAATTTCGGCACATTTAATTTATGTCCCCCAAAAATCTTTGGAAAGCATAATTCGTCAATGTCTTCTATCATATGCAATCGAACAGGTGTTTTTCCTTGCCCAGGTGCAACAATTTTTACTTGATCTATCAATTCTTTGTTTTGGTCAATTAACATTACCCCATCATTCGTGTCTTCTTCAAGATCAGATTCAGAATTTATACTTTTGTTATCGTTCAAAATATTTTTCTCCTCAATATTATCATTATCGTAGTTTTTTACATCACCTTTGTCCACAATTAAATCGACTTGTTCATTAAATTTATGTTCGTATCTTTGAAAATAAGTCGAATCAATATTAATATCGTATTTTTTGTATAATGGCGTTCCAATTAAACTACGGCTGGGCGAATTGATTCAAACATGTAATGCGTAGAGTGAAGCATGTGTCATTTCAATTTAATTTGAAGTGGTAGCCCTTGTAACATATCGTTAATTTCAATTGGTATATTTACAACGCTACCTTTTATTGCTAATTGTGGATTCAAAGCAAATGTTTTCAGTGGTCGTATTTGCATAAAATTAATATAAGGAGCTCCCATTCTTTCTTCAAGGGCTGTCATTATTTTCAAACAGTTTGGAATATCAATTAATTTTAATCTATTTCTAGCTAATTTTGGTATTTCACCTTTATATACAGAATTTTGACAGGTTTTACATATGTACGCAAAGTCACAATTAAAAATTTTATCATGAAAATCGTCTGAATATTTTGGTCGAACCATGTTTTCCAGGTATTTTACAACGGAATGAGAGAAAAATAATCCTTTGCAGCAATAACATATCAAGTCAGGCAAAATTGCCTTAAATAAATGTTGGCCGCACTTGACTGACTTCTTATCAGGGAATTATAGTTTAACTCTCTTTGTTTGAATAGGTCCAATTTTATTTTGCTTGGCTATTTTATCTCTAATTTTTTCTTTTTGTCGATATTCTTCATCTTCTCTTATTTTCCTCATTAATTGTCTATTGCCTTCGCGCTTGTGTTCTTTGTACAGGGTGTCCGCCGGGAAGGTATACTACTTTGTTTATAATTTTTGATTAAATGAAAGAGAATGGATCTTATATTGATAAATGTTTTATTTAATGTCGGCAATTATGCATGGAATACAATATCAGATAAATATCCGCCTCTGTTAGCCTCACAAATGCGAGCCCTTTTGAGCACATTTTTCATTACATTTTCACACATTTCACGAGGTATTTCATTAATTTCATCACGAATATTTTGTTTGAGTTGCTCAAGCGTTTCTGGTTTGTTTGCATAAACCTTGCTTTTCAGATATCCCCACAAAAAGAAGTCCGGAGCAGTCAAATCAGGCGACCGTGGAGGCCAATCAACATCACCATTTCTTGAAATAAGTTGTTGTAGAAAGAGATCTCGCAGTAATTCCATTGTAATCCTGGCTGTATGCGATGTGGCACCGTCTTGTTGATACCACATGTTATTCAAGCCCAAAGCATGCAGTTGTGGCGTTAAAAAGTTTTCAATCATATCACGATATCGCTCCCCATTCACAGTTACCGTTACGCCGTTTTCATTTTCAAAGAAGTAAGGTCCAATGATTCCTCCTGGCCAAATTGCACACCAGACTGTCACTTTTAATGGATACAAAGGTGACTGATGAATAGTTTGAGGGTTTTCCATTGCCCAGAACCGACTATTTTGTTTATTCACAAATCCATTCAAATGAAAATGTGCCTTGTCACTCATTATAATTTTTTCATGAAAATCAGGGTTGTCATGGGCGAGCTGTAACATCCTATTGACATATCTTCGGCGGCGTAAATGGTCTTGTGGAAGAAGCTCTTGTGTCAACTGAATCTTATGTGGAAACAAATGCAAATCCTTGTGCAAAATTGTGGCCAAAGTTGTTCTTTGAAGACCAAGCTCCTGAGCACGGCGTCGAATTGAGGTTGATGGATTGTTTTGAACACTTTCTTGAGCAGCAGTAATGTTTTCAGCCGATCTTGCAATACGTTGTGGTCCATGCTTGGGCCTATCACCTACAGACCCTCTTTCTTCGAAATCATTCACTACACGATAAATAGTGCGTTTTGTTGGCACGTTGTTTCTCCCAAAAATTTCACGTAACTTTCTCATCGTCACAGTAATTGATGATTGATTTTGATAAAATGTTTTAACGATTAAAACACGTTGGTTTATCGAATATTTTTTCATAATAAATTTGCCACGTAACTACTTCACGACTGCCAAATATGAACTGTCAAGACTAATGTTTACCAAAATGGCGACAAAACAAAGTAATATACCTTCCCGGCGGACACCCTGTATTTGTCATCTCTTATTTTCTTCATCGATTCTTTATTACTCAAACTCTTGCGTTCTTGGTACATCTCGTCTTCTCTTATTTATTGCCTTGATTCTTTGCTCAAGCACTCGCGCTCTTTATACGTTTTGTCTTCCCTTATTTTCTTTGATTCTTTTTTACTCAAGCGGTCGCAGGTTTTGTACATGTCGTCTTCTCTTAATTTTTGCGTTAATTTTCTATTATTCAATCGTTGGCGTTTTTTACACATGTCGTCTTGTCTGATAATTCTTTTATATTCTTTATTTTTCAAACGTTCATCTTTTTGAAATTCCTCATTTTTGCGTTTAATTTCAATGTATTTCTTTTTTGATTTGTAACAACAATATGTAAATAATGACGACGAAACAGTAAAATAATTGAAAATTAATATAATAAATGCAATATAAAATTACGTTTGGTCTTGATGATGTTCTAGAATAATTTCTTCTAGATATCATGAAAAAAGTGAAATTTCTTCACATTTGTAGATTTCCCAAGGTAAAAGTCTGTGATTTTCACTTTATTTTATTTGTCTATTTTCACTTTATATTATCTTTTACTATTTTCACTACATTTTACTTTTTAACACTATATAGTCTATATACAAATTACGATCGAAAAAAATCACGTGAAAATTCCTCAATTTATAGAGTTCCCGAGGTAAGATTTTGTGATTTTCACTTTATACAGGGTGATTCACATAAGAACCGACATAGAGCAGGGGCATATAGGGGGTCTCAAAATATGGCAATTTAACGCAACTTACCTCTATACCAAGTTGCTTCCCTAAGGAGTTATAGGCTTTGAAAGTGAAGTTATAAATTTTGAAAAAAAACAATATCTCCGTTATTCTTGAACTTAAAGCAACCAAATTTGGTACACTTTGTGGATGTATTTAGGGCGTTACTTGACAGTAACTAGAGGTTAATTGAAATTTGTAAAGGGGGTATACTGGGTGGCGCACCATTAATGTTCAACAGAATTTTGTTAACCCTTGATGGATTTTAAAAATCTTTGCTTTGTTTTGTGGGCAATTCAATTCTTAAACTTTTCTTACTCTAGTAATTTTTCGAAAAAACTCATCATTTTCATCAAAAACTCGAATAACTTAAAACGCGCGCTCTAGTTCAGCGAAAATTCAAAAGTTGGCTATGAAAATAAACGTCAAACAAGAAAGTAGGTCATTTAAACCTTTCGGTCACTATTTTAATTGGGTGGAGTAAAAAATCTAAAACTTTACTAGTGGGAAACTAATTTTTTTTGCAATTTTTTGACATAATCCATAAAGGGTTATCTACCCTCGTTCAGGGGTGGCAATACGTCGTCAATTGACGACATCGTGACTAAACGGTAATAAAACAGTGAAAATTGAAATTAAATTTTAATAACCTTAGGAATTATGGAAACTTATAAAACAATTAGAACTCTTATTTAAACATAAATGTACTTTACATTTGTTGCACAAAATACGTGACTGTTTTTTGCACCCTGGATTTTTGCACCTCATCGCAGACTTTTTATCTTCGTGGATTGGCCAATGGTTCTGTCCATCATACCGCACTTCCCGTATTGGACGCACTTCCTGAGTCCCCCTTGAAAATGTAGGTACTGTGGGTGTTGATTCACGAGATGGCCTGCCTCGTTTGCGAGAAGTGGTTTTGTCGGCTAATATAAGCGCTTCAGCTATATAAGCCCTGAAGTGAAGAAGATCTAATACATCTCTTTTTGGTATCCCCAATTGAATCGCTTTCTCTTTGTACTCTAGCCAGGCATTCGTACAAGCTATGTCCAACGCATGAGTGAATAAGCGTAATGTCCATTTTTTAGACCTTATGAAAGTCCTATATATTTGTATTAGAAAATCCATTTTATCTACACCCCCCATGCAAGCATTATAGACTTTAACTACTTCTGGTCGCGAAACGTAAACGTACTCTTTCTTATTTTTGTCCCATCGCTTACATTTATCGGCGTCGCCAATGCCCATAAATGTTGACGCCATGTGAAGTGGTTTATTGTCAAACCACTTTGTCATTATCACCTCACCATCTTGTGAAATAAGCTCTTCCATTTCACCTCTCCCCTTTTTTTTTTCATAACTTTATCATCCTGGAATGGAGGATGCTTGAATCTATCCACTCTTGCTGTACAAGTAGCATAAATTCCTTGGTTTCTGAGGTGTTGTAATAAATTATAATTTGAAAAATAATTGTCAAAAATAAGCTGCACATTTTTTTCAGTAATTCTTTGACTTAATTTTGAAACTACTGCTGCAGCTAAGCCAAAAACTCCCTTTTCCATTTCATCAAGCTCTGTTGTAGTGCCTTGATATATAATAAAGTCAAATAAAATACCACTTCTTCCACAAAGGGCAAATATTTTAATACCCCAAGGATTGGGTTTATTTTTGATGTATTGTTTTACATTCAAACGTCCCTTGAATGGAACCATTTGCTCGTCTACGCAGAGCTCCTTCTCCAAGGGAAGGGAAAGGCATGTAGCTCTTATTCGATTATATAATGGCCTTACTTTCCAAAAACGATCAGTTTGGCCTTCTTCTTTGGCATTGGTGTCGACAAAATGAAGGCTTTGCCTCAATTTGAAAAACCGATTCAGTGACATATTATCAGCTATAATTGGAATTCGTATGGAGTGCTTTGTGCTCCAGTAACATCGAATCCTTGGGTAATGCAAATTTCCCATAATAATATGAATACCAACCATAGTTTTCATCTCCTGTATGTCTGTGGGAGTAAATCTTTGGAGCTGTTGTGCAGCATATAGATTGGTATATTCAGCCATCTCCTCAAACAACTGGTCACTAAAATATTTAGTAAAAAAAACATTGGACTCTGTAACTCAACAACATCTTCTGCTTTTCGTTGAAACCACCTGATGACTGGAGTTATAAATTTGACTCCTGTTCTCCAGCCAATGTTTTCTTTAGGGGTCACCGCAATTC